TTCTTCCCCCTGGCAATTTAGGCCAGTCACACACGCTCTTTACATTTATTTTGACCTTGATTCTTTCAGTCCATACCAGTCCTCCAAACCTTTGTCATTACTTGGCCTCGTGACTCTCGTTTTCCCTTCCCCGTTTCAAGCAACTTAAAGCTCCTTGGCCTTTCGAGTTTGTGACTAGCTGTGCTTTGCTTTGGATGATGTCTTTAAGCACAGCCTTGGTGCTCTGAACATTGTCTCCTTTTTCAGGTCTGTGAGTGAGCAAGTAAGTGTCTATCACCAGGTCTGTCCAGTCTAGAATTAGGGCTTTTATCATGAGGACTTAGAAACTATTTAAGGAAAACTTTAGCATTATCTACTTAAATGATGGATAGTTACGGATCAAGGAGGGAAAAGAGTAAGTTTTCAGGGACTAGGGAAGCCATGCGCTATGTTCCTGAGGCACAGGTACAAGTGGGGAGGTGAATTCATGCACCAGCGATGCCATACAGGTTTTGTGCACCTGCCGCAGACACGGCCCTATCCGAAGACAGAGGATCTGGCGGAGAACAGGAAACACAAAGTCCATGCTCCCAAGGGGCTTTTACTCTAGCACAGGACTCAGGGTTGAACAAGCGAGCACAAAATTAATTGTGCCACTCAGATGGGACTCTGTTCAGTTCTGCAGAATTTTATGCCCATAATTTCCCAGGTTTATTGCTCAAAATATACCTGGCTATTAAATATTCTCTAGGATTTAAAGGTTATTTTTTAAAAACATTTATTATTGAGAGACAGACTGTGAACAGGGGAGGGGCAGAGAGAGTGGGAGACAGAGAATCTGAAGCAGGCTCCAGGCTCTGAGCTGTCAGCACAGAGCCCGACGTGGGGCTCAAACTCACGAACGGTGAGATCATGACCTGAGCCAAAGTCGGACGCTTAACCAACTGAGCCACCCAGGCGCCCCTAAAGGTTATTTTTAAAAGAAAAACTTAAGGTTTGATTTGTACTCTTTTATCCGTGCTTCTTACTAATTAGTTTAAAACCCTTTTCAACCTTTGTACTCACGTTGTGTTGTTAAGTCTTAGATTTCTTTGTTCTCAGGGACCAGCTATGGGTCTGTTAGGAGAACCTTCTTAACTCTGAGTGATCTCAGGGTCGTTTCTGTTTTTCAAGTAATCTGCAGGGATGGCATTAGTCTTTCTTTCGCAGCCCACAAGTCTTGCTTTCAGGGGTAGAATTAAGTACACGGCAAACAAGTCCTTCATAACCTGGGAAGAAAACGATGCTGCCGTGACCTCTTCCTGGGCTGGGAAGTGTCGCTGTGGTGTGTGTGGTGGTGAGATCACGCATTGGCTCTCTGCCTCCGGGGGCCCAGCCGGTGGAGAACTGATGGTGGCTGCCTAGAGAATGGTTTGAGACGAGGCTCAGACTGGGGCTCATCTGAAGGGAAAACTACGATTGGTAAGTGAAATCTACTGTGGGCAAGAAGGAACTTGTACCGTACGTGCCCAGAATTTTCCACTCTTTCTATTGGCTCCCTGGGAATGGCTTCACCCTGTGGCTTGGCTTTTAATCTTCCTCCAGGTGTAAGGATCGTTTATTTTATTCTGAATAGAATGTTTTAGACACAACTTAAATAATCTAGCTCTTCTCCCCATTCTTAATGAAGTTAAATTGATGTTATTCCCAGTCAGGATCCCATTCAGCCTGCTGTCATCGGAAGGTTACTCCTCTTCGTACACATAGAATGAAAACTGTTACTAAGGGGTAAATTATACTCATATTGTCTTAAACTTAGGAAAGAAGGGTTCTGCTCAGTGCAGAACTCTTGCATTTACATCCATACATTTTTAAAAGTTACTTTATGCGTTTCACTCTATCCTTTGGCGTTTTTTTTTTCTAATCTAGAATTTCTAGCTGTTTTTATTTCAATTTAGAATAAATTAAAGCATTCTGAGTGTGTGCACACACTCTTATGTGAGTCTAGGTCATATGATGGAATGTATTTCTGGTGGGTTGTGAGCGATACAATTTGAAAGTCACCATTCAGACCATACCCTTTTTATTTTTTATTTTTGAGAGAGAGAGAGAGCGGGGAAGGGGCAGAGAGAGAGGGAGACACAGAATCCGAAGCAGGCTCCAGGCTCTGAGCTGTCAGCACAGAGCCTGTCATGGGGTTTGAACTCATGAACTGCGAGATATGACCTGAGCTTAAGTTGAATGGTTAACCAACTGAGCCACCCAGGCACCCCACACCCTTTTTATCATCGTAGAACCTTAGAGAATAAAATAGTTTCTTGCTGCTTACTGACTTGGCTTTTGTCATCAGTCTCCATCACGTCCAATCCAAGGGCTGCTTTGATTGTTCAAGTAAAACTTTGGAAGGTATGAATCTGAGCAGGGGTAGTAAGCAAGGCCTGTTAAAACGCATGCTGCACATACGGAGCAAACACGAACGCTGTGCACTTAACCTCTGAATGCCCACGCTGTCATGCCCTCCACCTTGCTCTGAGGAGCCTCTGTCACTGACGTGGCCCTAGTTCCCATCCCAGGAGAACCTTGCTCTGAGTAAAACTGAAGGAAGAGAGATGTATTGCCCTGCCCGTCCTCTGTCTGGGGGCGTGGCCCACTTCTAATTCCTTGGACTCCACACAGCTCACTCGGTCTCAGAGTCACCTGTGCCGCCCCCCCCCCCCCCCCCCCCCCCCGTGCTTTTAGTAGCTGCAGCCATTTTCAGACTTTCCCAGCTGCCTTTAGAGAAGAGCAATCGTAGCATGTTTTCACTGATCAGTGACTTAGGTAACCAGGATCCTGGACAGGATCCAAACTGGACAGGACGGTGGGAAGAGGGGCTGCCTGGGGACCCGAGATCGTGCTGTCTGCAGACTCCTGCTGTTGGGACAAACGTAAGAGATATGTGTTTCAATGGTGGCAGGGAAGCACACGAAGAGAAAAGGAGCACTTGGGTAGCTTTAAGGAACGGAATGGGGTCCAATACCTAATTGTTCGGTAGCCTTGCAGGAAGTGGGAGAGGTGCCCTGTCCTGTAAGAGAAGCCCTTCCCTGGGCGTCCAGTGGCTCCGGCCCGATCCATAGGTGGTGAGCGTGGGCTGTCTGAATGCTTTCCCCACCTCTGCTTACTGGGTTTCAGAAACTATATTCCTTTTGCTAAGTATCCACTTACTGCCACTGGTAAGATTTTCAGGGTCAGTAGGACATGCATTGCTTTTCTTTTTTTTTTGGTAGTAAAAATTCAAAACAGAAGACATTTATGTGTCGTGAATTCATTTCTAGTAATGTACGTATAACGGCTGAGCCTCAGCTTCTAAGTGAAATAAAAAGTAGTAACAAGTGCCGAGAATGGCACGCGCTGTGCCCACCGGTCCTTTGCTCCTTCCTGGTTTCTTCTGGTGCAGGTGTTGTTTGGGGCAGTGGTTTGGAGGTCTTAAGTACTAAGTTTTTCCGTTGGAGGTTCTGAGTTGAATGAGCCAATGAAGAAGCCGCTGCGTGACCTTTCCTCCAGCTTCTGTGCCATCGTGTCTGCTGTTCTGAGTGGGAAGGCAGGCGGTACAGGGACAGAGGCTCCGGGAGCTGCTTGGCGGAGATGACACGGAAGGGTCTGGAGGGAGCCTGCACGCAGCCCTGAGCGTGATCTGGGACCCCCCCCTGCGCTCTGAGCCTTCTCCTCTTTCCCAGGGCCCTTCCTCCCCCACTTGTCTTCACTTTCTCTGTGACAGCAGTTCCTTCCATTCTTTTTTCTGCAGCTTATAAAGACCTTTGAAAGCAGTCTCCCTGTCCTTCTTAAGTCTTACAAGGTACACAGGTGCTACATAGGTTCCCTGTTTTACAGATGGGCAACGGATCCAGAGGTTGTGTGAACCCCTGGCACACGTGATCCGGTGGGTGCCCTGCGTGCCGGACAGAGCAAGTGTCAACAATCCTGGCTGGCCCTCCGACACTGGATGGGTGAAATACTGTCACTCTTACTCATCCTTTGAAGCAATTTTATTGTTTTGTACAGAAACCTTGATTATTATGAGACTGGTGATAACGAATACAACTGAGAAAATGGAATGTTATCTTAAAAGTGGACTACAAACATATACATGGGTAACTAATTTTATTTGACATCAGATTTCAATCTCATGTATTTGCATAATAACTAAAAATGACCTCTCAGGTAAGCTGTTCACAACTGTTCAAAACTGTTCAAACCTGACTCTTGCTTTGTCTCAACACCAGGAAGGAAAGGGCTGCTGCTCCCTCGCAGCAGGACGGGGATGTGTGTACATAAAACATGGCGGGGGGGGGGGTTCCTATGTCACGGTTTGTATGGCAACGTTTGGTTTGGTAAATCGTTCAGGAAAGTGTGAGAAGAGGGTCTCGTTAGAAACACGGATGAATCCCAGGGCCCCAGGTGTTTAAATTGCTGAGTCAGCAACCCTGTGCATTCTCTGCCTGGTAATGGGCAGGTGTCAGCGTCTAGACTCTGACTGTGGGAAGGAAGCTCAGGCACCCTCCGTGCAGCCCCTTCCGCTTTCTGGCTAAGGAGCAGGTTCAGGAACTTGGGCGAATGGCTGGACAGGGACAGGAACTCAGGCTTTCAGACCCAGATCCTCAGTACGCAGTGCTCACTTATCCCCACGGGTTGTCAAACTCCTTTCCTGTCCTCTGCATAAACTTGGGGTCTGTGAACCACTGCTTTTTCAGTCTGAGTAATGTCGGAAACCATTCAGTTTGCATGCGTAGATGTCCTCTGCACGTTTTCAGGCTTGGTTGTAAATATGACAAGGGCGGTTTTCACCTGTCACTCCGCTAAAGGGTAGCATGCTCGCTGCGGAGCTGAGCTTGGGGTGACTGTGTCAGTGGGGCTTTCTGACCTCTCACCTTCCACGCTGTGTCTCCCTTCACGTGGAGCTTACATAACTGCCTGTTTTCAAACTTAATAATTAGGTCAATGCTTCTTGATTTACTTTTTTTTTTTTTTTTTTTTTTTTTTTTTTTTTTTTTTTTAATTTTTTTTTTCAACGTTTTTTATTTATTTTTGGGACAGAGAGAAACAGAGCATGAACGGGGGAGGGGCAGAGAGAGAGGGAGACACAGAATCGGAAACAGGCTCCAGGCTCCGAGCCATCAGCCCAGAGCCTGACGCGGGGCTCGAACTCACGGACCGCGAGATCGTGACCTGGCTGAAGTCGGACGCTTAACCGACTGCGCCACCCAGGCGCCCCTTGATTTACTTTTAAAAGATCATAATACCAAGACAGTAATGGGGCCAGGGTGAAATGGTGTGGTTCTAACATCCCAATCTGAAAGGAATTTTTCCTATATTATACAGAGGAATCTAGCATGAATAGACACTCAGAAGTAGCCTTTGGGGTATGGATTTAAGGACGGGCAGAAGAAGGCTTACGTGTTGAACACCAAGAACCCTCAGCAGAGAACTTTCTCAGCTTCAAAATTAAAAAAAAAAAATTTTCTAGGATAAATGTAATGATTAGTAACATAACAACAGTACTGAATGTTATAGTGGAATGATCCACATTAGTTTTCCAATTGAATGTCGTAGAGCTTATTTACTTTAACAAATAATGATTTTTTTCTCCCTCGCTGTAAAATTGAGATCTGCCATTTGTGTTACCTGGGTTATCTAAACATCAATATCTTGAAAACTAGTGGGCTTCCCGTGGAGAGGTTTCATTTCTGTAAACCAAGGTGAACTGTTCTTGTTGAGCGAGAAGTCAGTGGCAAATGAGGTAAGTCAGAGGCACAGCTATGGATGCCAGGTGCGGGGTTAGTTTTTAATGGCCATGGTCCAGAGGAGTGGATGGTCCGTTTCCACGGTCACGACACCAGATCCATCGTAGGTATTGGAAGTACTGACCAGTGTTCCAAAACCAAGCACGTTATTTGCTGTAAGAAAATGAGAGAAAGAAATGTTTAATGACAGCCAGCCTTTCTCCAGTGTAGAACTCTGTCAACAGTTACCAGAAAAGCAGTTAAGCATGTGCTTAAGATAGAAGCTATATATATATATGGTAGAAGATATATAAAATGTGGGACAGGTGAAACATGACGTGGGATTTTAAAACTGAAAATGTCTAGAACTTGCCATAACCACTTTTCTGGGAGTTGGTTATTGGTTGTTAACCATTCTGGGATATGTGCCATTCTCTCACAAAATTTCATTAAATTTTCTGATTTTTTTTTCATTACCGATTGTAAAATCAAAACCCATTTTCTAATGTGCTACTTGCTTCCCTGCCTGGGTGCAATTATAATTTTTCTTGATGATTCAGAGTTAACATTTTACGTAAGTTATTAAACCCTATAAAGATGCAGTCTTAGCGTCAAGTATGAATGATATGGGGCGGAAAGCTAATTACTCCAAAAAGGCATGGGATTTTGGTTATATTTTTCTCGTAAATTAAGAAAAGCCAAAATGAGCCAGGCCTGCTTTGTAAAATTAATAGGAACTCAAAGGTCAAAGCGGACTTCCAGTGGGGTGATCCTGAGGAGGCCATAAGCCAAGCTGTAAACTGAGGCCAGGAGATGAGATAATCTCCTTTATTTATCAAAGTAAAGGTTTAGGAGTTGAGTGATAGAATTTGCTTATCAATTCCACATACACATCAATATATACCTGTATGTATATGTTCTT